AAATGTAATTAAAGTCAGATCCACTCGTGTCTTAGACGGGGCAGTGATATCATAAACCTGTTAATGTACGCATTCAAACACTTTTTCTTTTACCAGCTGTATTCACCTTGCAGGTGCAGCTATGTGGCTTTTATCCTGGATAAAGTGTTTAAGTAAATTCATATTTGTCTAATATTATAGTTGACTTTTCATTCAGGAAGTATGACGCTGTGCTGTCAGTGCGCTTCTCCATGTTTGTGATTGGTCGAATGCTCCAGATACCACCCCTTTCATGTGAACGCGCACCTGACTAGATAGGGCACGGCTGGTTTGAGAGATCCACTTGATAACCAGCATCGTAGTACCGTTTAGCGAGAGCGCGTATGTTTTGGATTAGGCCAACCGGCTAACTCAAACATATCCAGGTTAGGAAAATCCAGCTTCATAGTACAGGCCTCTGGATCCCTTGGCTAACTAACAGGGAGTCCCATTGACTTGCATAGAGCTCCCTGAACGCTGGCAATAGACGAGTTGGGATCGTGGAGAAATGGTCTCCGCAGACCCATCCTCACAGCGTTCTAAACCTTTTTCTTACTCAATATCAAGCCACACTTATTGTTTTTACTTCGGCTGTGAGTGTTAGTGTGTGCTCAGGATGAGTTTAGCTTGTTCTCGCTGTATCGCCGACCCGGAAATTTGTCCGCTCCTCGCAGCAACGAGCCTCGCAACGTCCCGACCAATCAGAGTACACTGGGCTCACAGGGAGAGGGGAGGGCAGGAGCTCCAACAAGCCGTGTAGGACAGAGAGTGAATACACATACTGTACAGAGATGCTGTATGAGAAACCAATGTGAGTTTGGAACATTGAACAATGTAAATCTATTCTAGTAGACCTTAACAATGGAAATATGATCAGTAGAAATGGCCATGTCAGGGGAGCTTTAAAAGTGAGCTGAGTTTTGGTTGGCAGCTTTTCAGACTGTTCAGAGGTGGATGAATTTCCTGATTCAGTCCTGAATGAAACATCGAACACACACAACGGGAATTTCTTCATTTTAATCAAAGTTAGAATTCGTCAGAAAACTTCATGCTTTAAACAGAACACAGAAGCAAAACATTGTAGCTTAATGTGTGTGAACCTGTGTTGCCTTCAGGCGTGTCCTCTCCAACTCAGAAAATCGAGTGTCTACAAACATGTGGATGTTTAGATGAAAATTGCAGGCGTGCTACAAATGAACGTCTTTTTAATCAAGGCTAAATATTTTACTTTTTTACCCCTTTATTAAATCAAAGAGTTATTCACATCTCACACGCTTCTTTAAAATGTCTATTCTTTTTTTTAAAAAGTTTTCCAATGTATTTAAATGTAATTTGATCACGCCCTTTTAATGTTGGTTGTAATTATTTGAATTGTCCTGTTGCTGAAATGAGCTATATTAATAAAGTTGCCTTTCTTTCAACAGGAGAGATTAGATTCTTCGAGTTGTGGAGGACCGCCTGAACGCACCATGAACTGAAATAAAAACAGTTAACAATTCAAACAAATGCGGTTGCACGATAACTAAAGAGAAGCAATAGAAGCTCTGCGTTCTTCAAACACATCAGATATTAACCAACCTGATTCATAACCAATCTCTCTATGAAAATAAATCTACAGCTTTTTACAGTTAGCTTCTTACACAAGTGTATAAAACATTTACCTGGACATATTTACACGTAGAATGAGTTTTTTGTCACAACAGAGGAACGTCTTGTTGGTTAATTTGACTGAAAACAGTTTATTACACTGGCCTCGATGAAAGAAACTATCAATACTCTTCATCTGAAATGAATGATTACCGGTACTATCAACAGAGACGAGTATATGAGATTAAACTGAAAGAAATATTTGTACAGGTTATAACGAGCTAGCTGTTTTTGCTAAAAAATCTGAGAGCACCGAAACACAAAATGAACCTGTGAGCGGATATTATTTAGTGACGTATACAGTTCCCAAAGGTCAAGAACAAAGTAGAAGCTGATTAATACATTGCTTTTAGGGTTTTTCTTCGTATGTCAGAAAGAGACATTATGCAGAAAACAATCAAAAGCACAGATAAAAATCTAGAAAAGTCGAAATAATATGCCTAAAACCTGAAAATATCAAACGCGAGAAAAAAGGAAGAGAAAGTGAAGGAAGTACTGAACTGAGCTCGTTTCCTAAAGAGAGAAAGATGATCCTATATCGTCTTTTAAAAATCCTCTATACATCCATCTGTGTGGTTCAGACACACAACAAGGGCCTTGTGTCCACCAAAAACTAATTAGATGTGAAAATATGGAGCACATAAATGCAGCGAATCATTTGATATGAGCTGATTTTGCAGCGAAATGTCACTAAAACAATCTTAAAACACATGATTGTTAGAACCAGTAAAAAAAAATTGTGAAAAAGGCCATATAGTGTCACCTCTGTAGTCAAGGGACTATAAAAAAACTACATTTCCCACAGCGCCATCCCTTTAAGAGACACAGATAGTGTGTGGAAGACGCCGTCGAGACACAGTTTTTAAGCGTAAACATTACACAGAGAAAGAAGGACGATCTCATATATCTCCATCTTACTAGATTCCTAAAAGCAAAACAGGTATGAACCATTCCAACGAGGATTTAAAAACGGTGACACTTTGCTGCAAATCAATTTAATTTCAGAGGACTCGCTGTGTAACAACATTTTCTCAAATCTCTGTCGTAGGAAAGTTATTGAATCATCGAATCTTCATGTTTTAAAAAAAAATCGGCCCAAATCCTTTCAATGTTTTCATGAGCTTTGTTACACTTTTCGGTCGTAACACAGTTTCTCAGGTTAGATGGTTGCTAGGAAACGGCCTTTGCTAACACTACACGGTAATCTGATGCTAATGAGAACGCATGCAGTTAAGTTTGTAGAGCCACCTGAACACAGAAAAGTTTCCCAAAAACCTGCGTAACAACAGCTCATCAAAATCCATCCAATACCGAAACCTTTCATCTTCACGTTGTTGAACATACGGAGGGACAGTTTGGGAAATGTTGTTGTACTTTTGTGAAATGTAACAGATAGAAAGCACCTGTTCAGTCACAAAAAAAACGTCTTCACCCTCGTCGTGTTGTAGTGCATCTTCTCGACTCTAAACAAAGCACAGTTTCTCTGCAGAGTCGACTCGCTCCACGACTCCATCTCCGCAGGTCCGTCAGTCGAGTGATTGCCCGTCAGTCAGTCCGTCTGCTCCTATTGGCTAGCAGAGGCTCGCAGGAGTTAAAGGGGTCAGGGGTCAGGGAGGGGAAAGAGTCAGCGCCAGACGGACAGATGTCTCACAGTGCACAGGTCACGGAGCAGCCGCCTGATTCGCTGCTTGAGCTGCGGGAGGCGGGACAAAGGATCCGGAGGCTCGAGCTCACCGGAGTGATCCAACCACGACTCCAACACTGCAGAGAGAGAAACATGTGTCATGTGACCGAGAAAAGAGACAGAAAATCCCGCCATTATCGGTAACAACGCTTCTTTTGACTTTGTTAATGATAATAATCAGAATCAGAATACCTTTATTAGTCTCACAGAAGGGACATTTACATTGTTACAGCAGAAAAGAGCCAAAGACAACTTAATGTTACCTTTCCACCGGGTCTGTCACATCGATCGCAGTCACTCTAGTCAATGGGTGCTATTCCACCAGACGTGGCACGTTACGGCTCAGAAGCGTCTCAGCGCTGGGCTCCGCTAAAAATAGGCGGCTGGTCTATTTTGACGCGAGACGTGGCATAGCGCCGAGCAGGAAGTGGACCGGTCAGAGCATCCAGAGAAATGCCAGCGTTCTCCTCCGGTTTACAGGCACTGTGTAAATTATATAGAATAATTCTGATGATGAACCCATTTTTTTACCACTAAAATACAGCAACACATCTTTGATTCATGTCGTTTATAACTGGGATATTACAATTAGTATTAACTTTGTCTGTACAAAGTAGCCTGTCCAGGAAATATGCCCAAATCAACAAAAACTGCGAGCCGGCAGGCAAGACGCTCCGCTTCTGAAACGCTGTAGGAGGTCGGAACAAAACCGGGCGCAGCCGTAACGCGGCGCAGACGGACCCGGTGGAATCCCGGGGTAAGAAGCAGTGTGTGTGTGTCTGTGTGTGTGTGTGTCTATGTGTGCGTGTGCGTGTGCGTGTGTGTGTGTGTGTGTGTGTGTGTGTGTGTGTGTGTGTGTGTGTGTGTGTGTGTGTGTGTTACCGTCCAGCTCCCGCTCTATCAGGTCCATCCTGGCGCTGATCTGATGGTGCAGCGTCTCCACGTGCTCCAGCAGGTTCAGCTGACACTCGGCCTCGGACGCTGGACGAGGCTCCGCAGTGTGTGTGTGGCTCTCTGCCTTTATGCGGGGCGGTGTGTCTGTGTGTGTCACTGAGTGTGCATCTGCTGTAGCATCAGCTGGTCCCATCTCCACATCTTCAAGCTTTATTTCCTACAAAAACAGACAAAACTTGTTTCATGAAAGGAAACCATCAAAGAGACAATCTGAAATAAAACATGAAGATGAAGCAAGAAGTGTTTTTTAAGATGCAATGAAGATCAGTGATGGTTATACTGTAGATGGAAAATAAGTATAGGAGGAAGAAGTGAAGATATGGAGAAAAAGGGACGTTCTTTATCATAAAACTAAGTCCTCCGAAGCTCTCTCCATAGCCCTCACACTCACAGAGCATTAGCAGGTATAAATAATTCCACATTTTCAAGCAGAAAGCTTCAAACTGGTTTGCAGTGGTCTCTTAGCAACAGCAGGCTCCTGTGAACACGAGGAACAGCTTCTGCTAAAGGTCTCTGAGTTTCTATGAGACAAGCTTTGAATTTCTTTTACACCACCCTTACGTCACCTGAGGTTCACATGAAATGCCAAGTCACACTTTGTTCATTAAGAGGAGCTAACACAGATAACAGGAGGAGGAGAAGCAGAACAATGGAAGCTGGAAAGGGCAACTCTAAAAGGCAGACATTAAAAACCTGACCTCATAAAATGTCAGCTGTGTGAAGATATTATAAGACATAGCGATGATTGGAGCTAAATGCTAACCTCATTTTCAGGTTCATACCAGTATGTAGTGTCTCTACTTTAAAGAGTCCTCTCCTGCTGATGTTCAGG